AAAAAAAATATATAATGAAGTGACTTTCCCCTTCTTCACAACTAGTATAAACAATTTTAGTAACTTATCACCTTCTCTTAAAATATAGCAAATGATCTCTTCTTCCCATATACCATCTCTTATCTATAAACAAATGCATAAAACCTCATCATTTCAGTCCTTATGTCAGCAAAAGTCCATTAAGGGCTACCAGAGATAACAACATTTAATCTTGATCAAATAAACCAACTTCATAATCCTTGTACATAAAACTTTCAATGTTCAGAAAACTTGTACTTGAAATTATCAGGGAATGGAAGCTTAATGGAACATATGTCAGAGTATCTTTCTATTTGAAAGACACTAAAACAAAAAAGCATGAACCTTTCTGGTAATTTATCAAGGAATTGTTATTAAATTCTTTATCAGAAAATTGATGTACAGTAGAGTTAATGTACAGTAGAGTTAATCAAATTTCATCATACAATTTCTCTTGAGAATATAATTGCCAAACTGGAAGCCTATCAACATGTTTTGAAGAATGCAAGTGAACAGAATTCTTTAAAAAAGGTAAAACAGAAAAATGTAATCTGTCATTACTGCAATAGGAAAGGGCTTATTAGAGGGGTATGCAGACTTTACAGTGCTATGACTCATACAACAGAGAAGGATAAACATCTGGTCTTTGCTGACATTTGATGAATAAACTTCAAGAGATAGATGTAGATGTAGATGTAGATGTAGATATATAGATAATTTGCTAGCTGTATTGAGTGGCATGTGTGTGTGCTCTGATCTGGATATAGGAATTGGCCGGAAATGTGCTGGGAGTCAATTAAAGTGGGAATTACCCACAGTAATTCTCCAACAACAATGACAAAGCATGATTAAACTAACATTTCTAAAGTGCCTTATAAACTCAGAGAGCTTTTAAAAACTTTTTTTTCTGCATTCAAGTACATCAAGCAAAGAATATTCATTACATGTTTCACTAAGCTTTCAAATGTATGGCTTTAGGAGCACTCTGTGAGTGCAAATGAATGAGCATTACAACCCAGAAGAGTGCCATTATTTCAGCTACTTTTTAAAAGAGGCTTACCCACTAGTTGCTCCTAGTGTCTCAGGGGAGAGCTGTTCAGAGAGAAGGGCCAGCCCCCCGTCCATTCTTTGCATGTTTTAATCAGATCCATTAGCACTGTCTGGTGCCCAATTTTCTTGATCAATTGTTGGACCATCCTATCACTGAATGCCAAGAGAGCACCTCTGTTCCCAGGTTCCCTTGCGGAAAGAATCAAGTAATAATTACTTTTTTATTCCCCTTTGCTACTAGTAGGCAAATGTTTCTGACCAAAAGGCACTTAGAGTCTTTTTGCAACTATTCAGGAACAGTGCTCTGTAAAAATTGCAATAAGCAATTGATTTGGACCACATATTACCCCCTTTTCGTTGCATTAGAGGATTAATCAATGTTCTTACGATAGGTATTAACTTTTTAGACTCAGTGAGCGTCCAGGGCTTAATTGCCAACTTTAGTCAGGAGCCTGGCCAAGGTCCTGTTTTGTATATGCAGAACTCTTTCCTCCAATCACATTCATAACCATTAGGCTCCACTTACCTAAAAAAGTTGGAAGTATATGAAGTTGAAGAGGCTACCATGTTTACAGTTACTTCCAATGCTGTATGAATCAACAATTAAAAAAGACTTTAGGGATAACTTCTGGGTTTACTTCACCATTCAGGTTTGGAAGTAAAAATGCCTTTCCTAAACTCAGAAACCACAATCCCACAGCAGGAGAGCTAGGAGGCAAATATTTACTTGCCAAAGGAATAATTTCAATCCAGGCTATACACAATGAATAATTCAATATATATGACAATCTCATTTTATTTAACTCATCGATTTATGGCATACACACATAAATATTCATTTTATACATGCCTGCACAAATGCAAGTGTACAGAGAGAAAGAAATAGGGTACACACAGTCTACCATGAAATTTAGGAACCGGGTCTCCCAAATTTGTCTCCTGCAACCAGTTGCAGACCTGATAACTGACCAACTTTCCATATTCAGATACTTTCATGGTAACTTGAAGAATAATATCTATTAGTTTGAGGATCTCAGTTCCCCCTTTCTCCAAAGATCTGCATAGGAACTCTTTTTTGCAAGGCTGATCAAAGCTTCCATCCCACAACATTAACATAATTCATTCCACTACTTTTACATGCTACATTCATGCCTGCTTGAAAGCAGCTAGTTTCATAGTGCCTTTTTCACCTGCTATTAATATTCCACTCTTGTTTTTGTCTGTTCCAAACAGGGGGCATAATACTTCATAACACAGAGCACTCCCAAATCCCACACCATTAACACTCAGGTTTCCACACAGACATGAGAAACATGTGGAATTTACTACCACCATCATGCTCATTAGGAAATGGCTGAGTCAAGTAGACATTTGCCCAGTAACCTTAGCCCAGTAACCCTGTCTGCTCCATAAAGAAGTTAGTCAAGGGAATACTTTGGTCCAAAGAGAAAACACAGTGAGTCACATGCAGCTCTTCTGAAAACATGTGCATGATCTATTTCAAGGAAACAAAGATCTTTGTGGGCAACCTTTCTGCTCCTCAGAGGACTGAACTATTGGGGCCCAATTCCTATCATGCGACCACTTTAAGGAAGAGCCCAGAGGAGTCAGAGAGAGAGGAAAAAAAGAGACAGTTGTCTTTCCTATGATCAGTTGCCCAAAAGGAGTCAACAAACAATGGTGTCTTCTGGTCTCTGGTATGCAGGAAGCATTCTCAGTCTAATTCTTTCTGGTCTGATACCACAGAGAGGGACAGCAAAACAAGGTAGCAGTAGATTCTGCCTTCTCTGGTTTGTAGCTCTTTTACAAAGCTCAGGGGAGGTATTACCATAGGGAGGAAAGGAGAGGTGGGGACCTCTTGGCAGGAAAGTCATCTTTTCTGATGGTGGTGGAGAAGGAGAGAATCTCATTTAATGTTTCTTTGGCTGAGCTGCATGGCATCCTGGACAATAGACTAATTAGTCATATTTAGCTGATGCAAACCTAGCCCATGTGATTAGTTTATGGGTTAGAGCATCGTGCCAACTCAGAACACTATATTAATTCAGTAAATTGTGTTTCACTTAATCATTGTGTAAATATAGATGTTTCTTTTCTACTCCAGTTCACTCCAGAATGCAGCAGCATGCACAGTGCTGGGTGCATCTAGATTTGCCCATGCTACACCTCTGTTGCACAAGCTGCACTGGCTCCCGGTTTCCTTCGGGGTGCAGTTCAAGGTGCCGATTATCACCTTTCAAGCCCTACATGGCACAGGACCAGGTTATTTGCAGGACCACCTCTCCCTGAGAGTATCTGCCCATCCTACCAGATCAGATAGGGTAGGCACACTCCAGGTCCCTTCCCTGAAATCTTGCCATCTGGTGGGACCTTGGAAGCATGGCTTTTCTCTGGTTATCCTACCTTGTGGAACACCTTCCCCCTGGTGAACTGGCAGGCCCCCACCATCTTAGCCTCCTGGAAGACCATCAAGTCCTGGCTTTTTATCCAGGTACTGGGGTACAGTGAAGGTGTCTGGGGTTGGGAATGGGTTTGGGGTTTTGTTTTATGTTTTGATGGTTCTGTGGTTAATTGTTGCTGTGAGCCACCCAGAGTTGTGCTTTAAGATAGGCAACCATACAAGTCTTATAAATAAATAAATAAATAAATAAATAAACAAACAAACAAACAAACAAATAAATAAATTGCTTTTCTTTCAAAATAGAGCCAGTTTGGTCTGGTAATTAAGGTGTCAGGCTAGAAACCAGGAGACTGGGAGTTCTAGTCCTGCCTTAGGCATGAAAGCTGGCTGT